GTGTGACTTTGAGCAAGGCCTTTCCCCTCTCTGGGCCTGAAGCAGAAATTTAAGCAGTCTAGTGAAGCCACCTGTCCTCGTGGTGCAAGAGTGCATGTACACATGTGCCCACAGCCATGCACATGCATGCATGCACACAGTATACACTCATATACACGCATAGACAAGGCCGTACACTAATGCACACACATGTGCACACAGTCACAATACACACACAAGCCATACATGCATGCTCACATGCACACATAGCCATATGTCTACACGCATGTACAGGCCTGCATGTACAGTTCTAGGTTCTAAGCCCCTAGCCCGCTGAGTCATGCCTCCAAGGCTGGCCCTGCTTGGCCCTGGTATCCTGGCGACAGTTAAGCAGGAGGAAAATGGTCCAAGCTTGACTCTGAAGCTGGGAAGGACTGTTGAGCTTACAGTTGGGAGAGCTGGGTTTGAGGCTGGGCCTGACACAGACTTGCAGTGGCCATAGGCAAGTCCCTGCCTTTCTGAACTTTGGCTTTCTCCCCTGACAAGATACAACTTGCAGGATCATTATGGGATGGGGGTGTGCCCACAGATGGGAAAGAGCTTTGTAAATTGGAAATTTCAATCAGCTGAGAGCTTTGCAAACTTGAACGGGGTATACCAGCTGCCCAAGGTCTTGTCAATGCAGATTCTGACTTGGTCTGTTGGGTATGGACCTGCAAACCTGTGTTTCTAGACAGCTCCTGGTTGCTGCTGCTGCTTCTGGTCCATGGACCACACTCTGAGGAGGAGCTAGAGAAACCCAGGGATTTATTCATTTCCAGAACTCACACTAGGCACGTGCAGAAAGGGAAGAAACAATAATATACACTGCAAATGCCTTGCTGGCTGTCCAACACTGGACGGAGCGGGGCCTGAGGCTGCTCTGAACAGGAAGCTGGGGTCTCTTGGAGGTGCCAGCAGGCGGCGCTGTCCTCTCCAAGCCTGTGGGAAGCTGGAAGGAGCCTTGGGGCATGCCAAATCCTGTTACATCCTGGCAATTATAGTTTATCGCTGTGGCATTAATCCCTTAAAATTAGTCATTAGCAGATTAAGAACCATTTAGCATCAGGCTCCCACTAAGGAGTTGGGGGAAGTGGGGGATCTGCCAGAACCAGAACTTGCCCTGGCCTGAGCCACCAGGAGCCAGGTGGGGACCAGGGTCATCTGCCTCCCCAGCTCCCATGCGCTACTTCATTTCAACTCCACCTGGCAGGTGTGTGAAGAGGATTTGACAAAGACTCGAGTGGTGGGTTTATTAAATCAGACTGAGAGAGACATGTTATGGGGGACCTTTGCTGCCTCCCCTTCCGGGCCTGCTCAGACATGTCCACCAGGAGAGTGAGATGGCTGCTTCTGCCCCTCCCTGCCTCTTCTTGGGAGAGGAAAATCCCATCAAAGGAGTACAGCCCAGCATCAGAGCTGCCCATCTGTCCGTGGTCACTGGGTGGGTGGGCAGAGCCTGGTGTCACTTTTCAAGAGGAGCTTGGCAGAGGAGGGGGCTGGTCCCTGGGCTCTCCAACAGGATGCGCCTCAGAAAGCCCCTGGCTGTGGAGGGAGGAGGGTGGGGAGACTGAGGCAGGAATGAGACCCAGTTCTGGATGCTGATGTGAGGCTTACTTGGGGATGGGGGACTTTGTCCCCTTTTAGCTGCTGAACATTCACCCAAAGCTACAGAAGCTGGGGGTGGGTTGCAGGTGTGGACAGGTGGCCCAGCCAATCAGATCTGGCCAGGGACCCTAAATCTTAAGAAGGTGACACAGGTTTGGGGCCAGTTGTGGAGTCCTGTAGCCACGTGGGTCTGTGGCCATGCAGACATGGTATATGTCCAGCATGGGTTCAAGTGGTGACCACAGGGCCCCTGGCCATGAGGTTGCATGTCTGGCGATGGTGCCAATTGGTCACACCCTCACCCACAGCAGGGCCTGTGGCTGGCCTGGCCTCCAGCTGCTCTGAGGGCATGGCAGGTAGGGTAGGAGAGAAAGGCCAGGTTCCTCTCTCCCACGCTCCCAGCCTGTAGCCCAGGAACATCTGTGGAGGCCTCTCCTCCCTTACACGGTGGATTTGGAGTTCCTGAGTCAAGGGAGGACAGGGCCAAGCACAGAGATGAGGTCCAGAGGACTCCAAACCCCAAACACCCCCACCCACTCTACTGTGAAGGTTTCGAGTGGTGTGGAACAAGAGAAGAGGACTTTGCATTGTTCCCCAGCACCTGGAACAGAACCTAGTATACAACAGGTGCTAAATAATTGTCTGAATTAACCAAATGAATTGAACCCACTTTGACATCTGCCTGAAATCTCTGAACTAGTTTTTTTGAAAATGCCAGGACCCCTGAGAGCTGCCTCCAGAATCACTGTATGGAGCTGCCCCATGTGGTGAAGCCCATGCTGGCCAGTGGTGTGGGCAGAGCAGCCTCCAATTCAGGGTCGGGAGGGCTTTGAAACGAGTGTTGCTGCTATCACTGTTACCGATGGCATGGGACGGGGAGCCTCCATCCCCACACCATGCACTGGTAGAAATATTAACGAAAAAGGAATGACAGGTCAGGGGCTCTAGGCACAGGGGCACAGGAACCTGGAATTCATCCAAAGGGGTGTGTTGAGTGAGGAAAGCCGTAAAGCTGGACCAGCATCCCAGTGTGATTAACATGTGGCTGTGGGAAGCCACTTTGCCACGTCAAGCCTTGGTGTTCTCACCTGAGAAGTGGGAACAGCAACACCCTCCAGGTGTGGTAGGACTGGATGAGCTGGGGCTCTGGGGTTTGAACAAGAGAGCCCATGGATGAGTGGATGGTTTTCCTGGTGGCCGCCCAGGCCAATGTGTCCGTCTGAGGCATACATTCAGGGTCTGAGCTCTGGACTGGAGCAGGCCTAAGACTGACACATGGCAAGTCTGATTGCGAAACCCAGCAGGCCCTGGACTAAATCCCTTAGGTCTTTGCAGGCTCTTCCTCCCAAAGCCTTTGAGTGCAGGAACAGAAGCCAGTGCTGAAGAGTAGCGTGGGGGTGGAGGCATGCAAGACCAACCAGGGAGCCTGCACTTCCTGCTGTGAGACCAGGAACACACTCACCCTCTCCTGGTGAGCTGCTTGCTGGGAGGACGGGAAGCCCAACTTCCCTGAGACGTGGAGGAGAAGGGCTTCCAGGTAGGTTTGCAGGACCTGACAGTTTTAGTTGCATGGGGTGGGGAGTGGGAGGCAGGAGGTAAGAGGCAGTGCAGCCGGATCCTCCCAGCCCAGCCCCTGGTGAGAAGTCTGGACTGGAGGCAGCAGCACCAGCCACGCCTCTGGCGCATGCTCTCCCAGGCTCAGGAGCTCTTCCTCTGCAGACAGGAAGCAGGGTCCCTTCCTCTCAAGTCCCCCTCAGGGAGGAGGCCTGTTCCTGTGGCTGCACCCAGCTCCCCTCTGCTGAGTCCAGATAGCAGCTCACTGTGCACATGTAAATTACAGGCGCCTTTGGGGGAGGTGCCTGGCTGGCAGTGGCGCTGGCAGATGGAGGTGCAGAGGGCGGCTGTCGCCCGACTCATTTTCCCCATGACTGGTGAAGGGCTGGAGGCCGGCCGTGCATGTGAACGAGGTGCTCTCCCGCTCGGAAGGCTGGGCAATCCATCTTCTGCCCTGTCTGCACTCGGGGGCAGAACCTCCATCCGCCTCCCGTGGGTGGGCTCCCTCAGAGCCCAAGCCCCTATGGGGCTGGCTTAGGCGCTGCCAGTCAGGTCTGGCCCCTCCCTCGGCCTTGGAGCAATAGGCATGGAGGGCAAAGTCTCATCCTCAGTCCATGAAGGCAGCCCACACCCCAATCCCAGTGGCCACCAGGGCCCTGGCTCCACAGCAACCTCTACCCAGGTCCCATTACCAAAGGGAAGGCGTGGGGCTGAGGGCAGAGTTGCCTTCCCAACCAAAGGGATGGGCCAGGCCTCAGTCCGAGCAGGAGGGGTCCTCAGTCCACTGACAGGTGGGGAGCCTGAGACCAGGCAGGGGCCTGTGTCACTCTTGGTCCAAGCTAGCACTTGAGCACTTGCTGTGTGCAGGCATAACTGCTCTTGGTATGTAGAAGATGCCTTTAACCTTCCTGGTAAAGAGACTGTCTTGGCTCTGCAGGTGAAGAGGGAAGAAAGAAGGTGAGCCACCTGCCTGAGTTCACACAGCAGTTGGTGGCAGAGCTGGAACTAGGTCTCGGGGTGTCTGTCCAGAGCCTGTGCTCTTTGCCCACCCTAACCATATCTTCACCCATCATACAGCATAGACAGGCCTGACCCAGGGATTCTCATCCCACCCACACTTTGAACACTGAGTCTCCCAGGGGCTGGGGCCCTGGCTGTGCATGGCAGGTAGCTTACTGCTGACAAGGCTCCTGCCTCCTCAAGCATATCCTACTGTTACGGGTGGATGAGATGAGGGCTGACCGCTCCTAGGCTGCCATTCCCATTGTCTCCAGACGCCCCTGTGCCTGGAGCCAAGGGAAACTTGGGCAGTGGGTGATGGTGGGGGGTGATCCTGGGCGGAGGTGCGCAGCAGCAGGGAGATTGGACACACACAGTGAGCCAGGTGGAGGGTGGCTGGGGAGGAAAACTTTATTTCATATGGGCGAGGAGCCTGAGGTGTGACACAGGCCCCCCCGTCAGGCTCCTGGATGGACAGGTTTTTGTGGGTAGAGACAGCTGGTATAGGGACACCTCAGGAGAGGGCAGAGAAGTGGCCCCACAGAGTAGTTAGTGCTCCACCAGGCTGCCCGGGCCTGCCTTGGAGAGCAGCCTCATGCCCACCCTTCCAGGATGAAGTGGGAGGACAAGGCCCTGGAGGCCCAGGATAGACACTGTGCTTCCCTGGAGTGCAGCAAAGCAGAGGTGGGTTATGGTTGGCCAGGACATCCTGAGCAGCCTAAGCCCTGCCACCTGGGCGTGTGAGATAGGTGCTGGCTGCCTGGGTGGGCTGTGGCTGGGTCCAGGCTTATGGGTCCTGATCATCTCATGATGCTGCCCCCAGGGGATACAGCACACAGCCTGGTGGCCAGGTAGGGCTGGGACCTGCGGGGACAGGTCCAAGCATGGCCTGCAGGCTGCAGGCTAGGCCATGGTCTGCCGACTGAAGAGCTCAAGGGTGAGCGAGCTGAGGAAGGCCGGGATGCTGTCCTGGCGCAGAAGGTGCAGTTCGATGAGCTCGCCCACTGTCCGCGAGAACTCTGTCTCCAGCAGCTGCATCTTGGAGCCTGAGGGTCCCGTAGCCTGCGGGGTGGGCGAGAGACATGAGAGAACTGTGGTCACTTTCCTCCCTTCCCACAAGGACCCCTCCCCAGGGGTAGAGCTGGGGGCCAGAGGGCAGGCCTGGTGGGAGGGCCTGGCCTGGAGGGGGTAAATAGCCTCTGGAGGGGCTAGTGCTGCCTGTGGGGCCAGAAGTGGAACCCAGCTCAGCAGAGTGTGGAGGCCAACAGCCCTGTTTTCCCAGGAGGCTTCCATCAGCCTGTAGAGCTGGGCCCAAAGAGGGATGGATCTATCCCCACTTCTGACAAGGCCTGATCTACTGGGGGGTTCACCTATGTTCTGGAATCCAAGGAAACGGGACATGGAGTCTGAACTCCAGCTCATCACTTCCTCCAGGTCAGCTTGCTCCAACTCCTCCCATCTTCAGACCTCAGCCATAGTGATGAGGACAATGGTGGCGACCATAATATGGCCATCTAGGATGCGCTACAGCCAGGTGCCATCTGGCACTCACAGGGATTAGATCCTGTGCTCCCCTAACAGTGCTACAGGGCACTGGGACACAGTCTGTTACTGTCCCTCTTGCAGATACAGGGCCAGTGTCTTGCTCACGGCCACCCAGCATAGGGGGCTGAGATGCACACTGTGCAGTTTTGCTGTAGACATCAAGGGCAGGGTCTGTGTCATCTGGACAGGGAGCTAGGGGTGGGGAGGGGGCTGCCCTTGGAGCCAAAATCCCAAATTCAAATCCCACCTCTCCCTGGCTAGGTGGCCTCATCCACAGCATGGAGTGGAGACCTGACTGACTCAGGGGGCTGCTGCTGCCACTCCCTTCTTCCTCTGCCTGGGAGGTGGCCTGAGTGGTGGGGAGGGGACTGCTTTCATGCACAGGATGCTGGAAAGGCCCAGGATCCCATGCCAATTCAGAAGAAAAGAAAAACTGGCCCAGCAGGCTCGGGGTCTCCTGGGGGCTGGAGGTCTCTGGGGGCTGGGGCACCCACTCCCAGTTCTCCAGCTCCAGTTACTTGCCCCTCCTGACCTGCTGAGGTTGACCCCAATGCTCCTTCTGGCTGAGGACCTGAGGACCTATGCGTCTCAGCCCAGGGCAAGCCCTGCAAAATCTTCCAGACTTCACAGAGCCCCTCTTGGCTTCAATTTCCCCATTTGTGCAGTGAGGGTACTGGAATCCCAGGCTGCCTGGGGGCTGTGGAGGGTGGGGTGCCAGGTGGTTTGGTCCTGGCTCCGTTGATTCTGGAGCCCAGAATAATCCCTTTTATTACTTCCTTATGTAAATGTCATGTATAATTGGGGAAAAAGCAGTGAGGAAAGACAAGATGGGTCGTCTCTTGGTGACCAGGGGAGTGTCCAGACCGGACAGCAGCTCCAAAACCCAAGCTGCAGTAGGGACATAGTCAGGACCCTTTGTGTACAAAGGGGGAACTGGCCCTGAGCCAGCAAGAAACTTGAAGGCGCTTGGGCACTTGTGAGCAGAAACTCACAGAGCTAGCTCCCTCCTTCCCCAGCTGCCACCCTGACTTGGAGCCTCACCTGCCAACCAGCCCAACCCAGGTGAGTAAGAACACCTGGAGCCCACAGTGGCCCAGGCTGAATTAGGACCACCTGTGATGACCATCTCTATCACTGCCTGGGCTAGGAAAAGTGATCCATGCTCTTGCCTGCTGGAGGAACCAGGTGAGCTGGGAGGTTGGGTCGGGGGGTGGAGGGTGCCTGGAAAAATGGAGCTGTATCTCCAGACTGGGCCTATGGCCCCTGCACCCCATTCAGCCAGATGAGCAGCACTAGCGGGGTTGTTTCAGCACTGTCAGGAGCTGAATGGGGTGGAGGCCACCGACAGCCAACCCCTGCCCTCTGCTCTCTCCACATCTGACCAGGAACAGTGCAGTCCATGCAGGGGCCACTTCCCACTCTGGGGACCACAGCTGACCCCATGGGAGTCTTCCAAGGCTGGAAGGAAACATGCCCACAGGGGATATACCAGTGACATGTGCACACTCCCAACGACCGGGAGACCTCTGCTTCCCAAGGCAAGGCATCCCATCTCCAGCCAGCTCTGGCCAGCAAAGCCTTGTCCTCACTGATCCACAAAGTGCCTGCTTGCTGGTTTTGCTTCAGTGGGGCACCTGCCACACCAAGATCCCCATAAATGAAAAGCAGAAGCCCCAGACATGTTGGAGAGAGGATCTGTTAGACCTACTTGGCCCAGCAAGGCTGAGGCCCAGGCCCAGGTGATGCCATCCATGGGGCTCAACAGTGCAGCCCCAGGGTCAGGCAGGTGGACACAGACACCCAAACCATCAAAAAGCTCCCTCTCAAAACCATGTGTTGAATAAAGAACTTGTATCCAGAATATACCCAGAACTCTCCCAACTGAAGCATGAAATGACAAATGGCCCAATTAAACAATGGGCAAAGGGTTTGAATGGACATTTCTCCAAAGAAGATATGCAAATGGCCAACAAGCACATGAAAAGCTGCTCAACATCACTAATCTTTAGGGAACTGCCAATCAAAACCACAGTGAGATACCACCTCACACCCATTAGGATGGCCATACTAAAAAAGACAGACAAGTGCTGGTGGGATTGGGGCAAAACTGGAACCTGTGTGTGCTGCTGGTAGGAATGTAAATGGTGCAGTTCCTGTGGATGACAGTCTGGCAGATCCTCAAAGCGTAAACACAGAGTTCTCATGTGACCCAACAATTCCACTCCTAGTGTATACCCAAGAAAACTGAACACATCCATCCACACAGAAATTTACACACGAATGTCCACAACAACATTATTCAAAATAGACAAAAACTGCAACACGACTATCAACTAATGACTGGATAAGCAAAATGTAGTTTATTCGTCAATGGAATAGTATTCAGCAATAAAAAGAATGAAGTACTGATACACGCTACCACATGATGGACCTGGAAAATACGCAAAGCCAGGCACAAAAGGCCACACAGTGTGAGACTCCATTTCCATGAAATGTGCAGAAGAGGTAAATCCACAGAGACAGAAAGTAGTGAGTACTTGCCAGGGGCTGGGCCTGGGGTTAGGGGGAAATGGGGAGTGACTGCTCTGGCTTTGGGGTTTCTTTGTGGGGTGATGGGAATGTTCTAAAATTAGATTGTGGTGATGGTTACCAACTTGGAATAAGCTAAGAAGAATCAAATTGTACACTCTAATGGGTGAATTGCTTGGTATGTAAACTGTACTTCAAAAAAGTGCTTTTTATTTTTTTAAAAAAGTTCCCTTAAGCCCAGTAGCCCTATGGATGTCCCCTCACCCAGGAGCCGCAGGGGGTGGCTGGCTGCCCCTGGCATGGGTCCTGGAAGTTCCCCCTGCCGTGTGCACAACTCACCTCTCCACCTGAGTGCACCTGCTGCTTGGCCCAGCCCCTGATGGTGTGGGACCAGCACGTGCCGGCTGACCTGTGGCCCTGTGTACGCAGCTGCCCTCTTCCACATTAACCTGGATGTGGCTCTCCAGGAGACCTCCAGCTGCCCAGTGTCAGCTCCCCTGCCCCCAAGCTGTGCACCCCCTTCCGTGACCTGAAGAGCTTGCACCATGCTAGGTGTCTAAATGACTCCCTGAGCTGCCACCTTTCTTGTTTGTTCCGTAACTTTTCTTGTTTTCTCATTCAGGCCAACCCCCAGCCTGCCTCCTGTTCCTACTGCCTGTTCATACATTTAGCCTTGTCATAGTTCAACACAAACCATTTTTAAACAAAAATAAGAGAAACCACTCTGACCTTTTACCAAGAAAATCCTTTCATTTCTGCCTTCTGATCTTGATTCTGAATTTTCTTCCCCTAAATGTCAGAAGGGCTGATTCTCTTGCAGCTGTCAGGGGAAGAAGCGGGACGCTGGGCAGAGGTGCTTGGCTGGGGGCTGGGATCAGTACAGGGAAGAAAAATCTCTGAGAGGCAAGCTCCCAGCCTCCTAAGCTAGGTCCGTACCACCCCCAGCTAGGTCTCCTGGGCCACCCTGGTGTCGGACTTCAGCCAGATGGCACTTAAAAGCAGCTGTCCTCTGGGCACACACCTTTCCTGACCCCTCCCCGATCTTAATAGGCTTTGGAGGAGGCAGACGCCTTCCTCCGCACTAACCTGGATGTGGCTCTCTGGGCTCACTGGGAGACCCCCGGTTGCCCAGCATCCACCCCCCTTCTGCAGCCTGCAGTCCTAATCATTGTTTATTTGAGACAAACACGTCTTTGGTGGTCAGTCCAGCAACTGCTGCTCTATTAACAGGCAAAACTTAGCAACCAACATGAAGCCCACCTCTGTTCCATCAGCCCACTCACCCAAGGCTCACCCTATGCCTCTGTGACGACCTGCAAGTTGGGTCGAGGGAGCAGGCGGGCAGGCAGGAGTGACCAGTGCTAGTCTCTCATCTCAAAGCCCCAAATAAAGGCAGATGTAACTGTTTGCAAAATGCCATCCCCGACTGACTAAGTTGTGCCCGCCCTGCAGGACCCCGACGAGCCCACCCTCTGCAGACGTCCAGGGCTCTTGGCCTCCTCTCTCTGGAGTCAGTTTCCCCCAGGGTATCCCATCCCCCTTCACACTGGAGGGGGCCACCTTCTCACTCAGATTTGCCTCAGCAGCAGCTATGGTATTATCAGAATGTGCCGAATGAATGAATTATGCTGAGCCGATCAATCTCTGCTCAGCCCTCTGCCACATTCAAATATCACCCAGTCCCCAGGTACCTTGTAAATCACTATAATTAGGGGCTGTTCACTTAAAATTAGTGCGCAATTTTTTAAAAAGCAAATTGCCCAGTAAGACATGTTGGATGTGGCTAGAAGTATTTATGGGGCTGCCTTCCAGTGTTTGGAAGGATCAGCAGTGGTGTGGCCCGCGGGTGGCCCAGGGGCGCCTGAGACTCTCAACCTTAATGAAGACGCTCTGCAGGGCCCCTGACTCCAGCCTAGACCCAGCCTGTCCTTGCTCTGGGCCTCTGCTCCCACCTCTGAAAGCAGAGCGGGGTCTGCCCCTGAGGTTTC